CCCCCAACCACAAAAACAAAACATCCATCTGTCATTCCAGTAGGGCAAGGGAAAAAATCATAAGCCCTCTCAATAAAAATATTTATTATCACCAAGAACACGCATGCAAGATCAAATAAATAAAAGTACAACACTGGAAAATGTACATGATCCATTCAGCCATATTTAGACTATACATTTCATCAAAGTCTTACTCCAACCCATGTATACCCCCCAAATCAGGTCAATCACTTTTAAGTCTTCATTTAGGTAATTAACAACAATAATTGGTCGCTTTTGAGCACAAGGGGGCTATTCCGATAAATGCTGTTTTGAGAAAATCGAAGTTTAAGTTTTTGGATCCTTATTCAGTTTTATTAAAAGACAAGGATAGTTTTCTCTGTAACCAAACAAATATACACACCAATGAAATCAAACTTCCCCTATACTATAGGTAGGGCAATGCCCACTTTTGGTGCAGGTCAAGATTTCAGGAAACCCCTGAAATCTGGGTTAGCCCATTTTTCCTTATAAGCGACCAATTATAATTGGTGGAGCTATAGTGCAGTCAAAAATTCTGGGCGCGACTTATTGTCAAATATCTCCTCAATAATTGAACATGGGTTCTCCAATTTTTGCATAATAACTTGTATCAATTTGTCTTTACAGATGAACATTTTTGTAAACACCTGCTAGCTGTATTCTAGAAAATTCCTTAATAAATACTAATAAAAAATCTAAGTGGGTGGTTTCTACAGATTTTTAAATGTTTACAGCTGGGGCAATATTGCTTTAAATAGCAAGTCTGTCAGGTTTTTCTAATCGGGATATTATGCTTATTGAACCCATGTTTTGAAAACTATTAGAGCAAAAAATGTGTTCACTATAAAATTAATTTCTTTTAATAAGTTTTGTCATAAAAAATTGTCAATGATGAGCTGTGCTGTAGGCCGTATGCGTAATCAAAATGTGTGTGAGAAGCAGGAAGTGCTGTGAACAATCCCCTTTTTCGCATGACAGAGATTTCAAGTATTTTACATAAATTTACACAGAAAAGTTTTTTAATCTAGCCCCAATTGTTCTGGAAAAATATGATTTAGTTAAGACAAATTGATACAAACTGCTGTACAAAGTATGGATGACATTGATTTACCCGTTAAAGAGATATTTGAGGATAAGTTGCGCCACAAATTTTTGACCGTACTATAGTTTGAGTTTGAGTAAAGAGAAGCACATCAGTACAATAAATGTTATTATTCAGTTCTGGGGGAAAAAAGTAAGACAGATTTTTATTATAGTAGAGGGTTTTTCGGCGCTCTCAACTGCATAAGGTCATATGAGCGCGAAGGGATGGGTGTCAACAGAGAAGTCTTTAGAGGGAATCAGACTTATTCTGCTCACCTCTCTTGCTTCAACAGCACAAGGTCTGCTTCGACTATCAAGGCACCCCGGAAATAGCAGGTCACAAGAGTGTGACAAACATACAAAAGAAGTAGGGGAAAAAGACAATAGTAAGGATTAGGAAA